AGCTTGCTTTAGCTATGGATCTGTGAGGCATCATTGGCATCTCCCTTACCTTAGATCTGCCAAAAGAAATCTAATCTTTTTACACATCTCTCTGGATCCACTGCTTAACTCTTTTTCAAACTTCCAAAACTTCTTGTCTGAACTACTGCATTAGCCTTCTACATAGACTTTTTACTTTCATTCACTTTCTTGCAATCTATTTTTCACACAACATCCAGGGTGACCTTTAAAACATAAATTTGATCATGTAACTATTTTAAATAAGATTAAGTCTGTTAAAACAGGCCAATAAAATCCTCCAGTTTTGTCACACCATGCTATCTCATTCATCTTGCTACAGACACTTTGATCTCTATTTATTTGCTAGAACACAATAAGCTCCCTCTTCCCCCCAAAGCTGGCTCTTTCCCATCTTAAGACTTGACTCAGATTCTCTCCAATCTGCAGTCAATACATTTTCTCACTAAGGATTCTTTCCCTTAGTTTTATATATGTACTCATGGGCTTGAAATATCGCTAGTCTCACAACAGTATAATTTCTTAGTTATCATCTCACATATTCCTTTGGTGGTTTCCAAATCACATTTGGGATAAACTCTTAGTTCTTTGGGAGAGCCTGCAAAGCCCTTTCCGAAGAGCTTCTGCTCATCTTTCTAGGTGCACCCTCACTGACTCTTGTCTGGTCACCATCCCTTCCACATACTTTCAGTCGGGCCATGCCACATACATAATAGTTATTCGAATGTCTCATATTGTCCTGCATCATTGTACACACCATTGCCTTTGCCTAGAGTGCTCTGCTGATTTTGTCACCTGGCCCACTATGGATTATCTGACAACACCCAACTCAGTTATCACCTCTTCTGAGCATCATTTCAGGAAACAACAACCCCTTCTGTGCAAATGAGGTGCTCCATGTCTGTGCACCAGCAGATCCTGAGTGTCTCTCTGTCTTTGCATGGTATATTTGTGACTTTTGTCTGTTTACTTCCTCTACTGGAGGACAGGGACTGTGTTTTCTTTATGTCTGTCTTCCCAGTGCTTGACAGATGTTTCTCTACACAAAAGAAAAAATAGCTTTCATTGTTTTGCTATGGAGGATGGTGAAACTGTATGCAGAAATAAGGGAGAAAAATTTGCATATATTTGAGAAAAATATTTCTAGTTTTTTATGAGTGCCTTTATATTTCTATTCTGATGTAAATATTATTTCAATGAAATATTATTCTTCCCTCCCTCCTAAGTGAATCGGCAGTTATTCATTTGGAGTAAAGATTGAGGTCCTACAAAATAAACATAGGGCAATTAGTTATTTTAAAGTGTGTTAACCCACAAAGATTATTTTCTTTCTCTCCATGCCTATTTGGTAAGATAGTTCTCTAGGATTGTGTAATTATGAATGAATGACTTTGAAATGCTTGAACAATAATTTGTAGGAAAAACAATTATGAGTAGAATTATGAGTTATTAGTGGGAGTAAATAAATAGTTTGTTGGTTAACAGCTTAATGTTGAAAGCCAAAGTGGTTAAATGTTGTATTAAATTACAAGTTAAGAGCATAACCCTTTTTAATTTAAGTGTATTTGTAAATTATTTAGCCTTTTAAAGTGTATTTTTATGTTTTTTGATTTGTGGTAAGGAAAGGAAGGCAGCCACTCAACTTGGGTTCTTAAGAGTTCGGTGAAGTAAAATGACTCATATTTGAAATATACACAAAGCTTTCTTCGTTGAAGTCGGTCACTCCACCTTGTGTGGCATTTAAATAACATTTGTGAAGTAAGGAATATAATTTTTTGAGTGCCAAAGATAATTTGGTATGGTTAATATACAGTTATTTCCAGATGCCAGGAATTCCATCATGTGTCCATGGTTATGGTTCTTTGGTTCTGGATTCATAAGACTCAGTTTCAGAAATTGGTGCTAACATCTCATGCTGTGTAATCATATCCTTGAAGCATCTTAACTTCTTAATATGTATAATCTGTTAAAAGAAAAACAACAACAACAACAAACAGTTCTTCAGAATAAAACTGCTTACCATAGGTTGGGTTTATTCTAAATTCTTAATGTTTGTGGGTTTTTGTGTGTGTGTGATATTATGTACAAATTTAGGTATACATCTGATGGGGGTTTGCAAGTGAATGTCCAGAGGCAATATGCAAAATAGTTAATTTAAATCTCCATGAGTTGAATGCTAATCATGAACCCAGGACTATGCTAGGAATTTTGACATATATAAAGGAAGCATAAGGCAGTGGTCCTGTATTCAAGATGCTAACTGTTGAGGTAGGAAGATAAGACATAGATTATATAACTCGAATTTCTCCAGGCCTCTCTGAGCCTGCTCAGTCGGTGGATATTTCAGTAATGAGACAAATTTTATTGCCTGCCTCTCCCAACTCTCACAGAATTTCAAGCCCTTTTCAACATTATTGCCTGCTTGTTGTAGCTGTTCTCGCAAAAAATTTCATGTGAGTTCACTGACTAATTTGTCTTCTGCAGTTGCCATGAGGTTATTTTCATGTACTTTTCCTCCTATTTTGGCTTTCTTGGTCACTGTCTTCCATTTAGGAAGGCTCTGGAGGCTGCCTCATCCCAGTCTTTGCTGCTGACACATGCCATGGTAGTAGTGAACACATGGGTACCAAGGGAGCAGGCTTTCATTGCTACCTAGGTGGTCAAACCCTGAGGTGTGGGAGTGTGCTATGTTCAATGGTGAAGTATGGTGGCCTCCTTTCTCTGCTACTCAGGGCCATCCTTGATCACTGGGACATCAAAACTTTGGGATGCTTATTTCTCCATGACTCAGTCATGATTTCCTCATTCAATACCTGTTTTTTTTTTTTTTTTTTGAATATATGTTAGACACTGGGATAGGCATTGGTGCTATCATGATGAACAAATATAGATATAACTCCTCCTGTCATGTTTAATAGGGGAGATAAATAGAGAACTACAGTAATAAAGGTCAAATTGCAGAGTGTTAAGTGCTAGAAAGGAGAGGAACATAGTGATGTGACAGATCATAATACAAAATTTGACCTAGTTAAAAGATCTCAGAGGCTTTTTTGAGGAACCAAGCTGTTTTCAGAGAATGTAGTTCGGGTGATGATTATAATTATTTTGGCAGTCTTGAATTTGAGATGATGGTAACTTATCTAAATGTCAATATCTACTGCATAGCTAGAAATATAAGGCTGGTACTTATGAAATATCCAGCTTGATGTTTTAGTCATACACATAGAGGTGATATTTTTGCAATGAGAGTGAATAAATTATAAGGTAATTTTACTGTTTTATGAAGGCTCCGTCAACATTTGAAAGGACATAAGTTTATGTTAATAATTAAAAAGAAGTTTCAAAGATTCTCTGTGATTTTTTTTTCATTCATTCTGACTTGACTATTATTTATAAGAATGATTAGCTGAGAAATATTTTTGTTGTCCCTACTCTACCACGAGTAGCTTGTTTGCTGGTAGATACATAGTAGGTGTTCGTTGCATATTGATTATTTCGAATAATTGATCACAGAGCTTAATAGAATTTTGCCTTTGTTAAACATTTTCTATGCTCAGTGGAGATTTTTCTGTGCAGACATTCAAGAATGAATCATAGAAATTTACATATATATGCATATACATATAAAGAAACTTTTTTTCATTTTATTGTTCCCAAAGGTTAAAATATACAAACAATGAATAAAATTAAAATTATTTACTTTTGGAATGATTTATGTCTTAATTTTTACCTGCCCTATAATTAGAAATTTTGAACTCTGTAAGTGTTTTTTAAGATAAAATTATTGCCCAAGTAAACTTCAGAAATTACATTATTAACCCCAGACCTTTCTAAGCCTAGAACAGCATTATTGGTACAAGAGCCTGCACTCACAGACAAATAAATAAAGAAGAACATTTAAAATTGAAAATGATTTATTGTCGGCCACCTCTGTAGTTAGAGATTCAAGCATTATTATTTTACTTTAATGCAACAAGGGAGGACAGTAAGTTGCTGTGGGCTAAAGGTAAATTATGATCTATTTCAAAGGAGGAAGGAAATGTACTGAGGAAAGAAGAAGGAGTTGGGAGTAAGCCCTGTGTTTTCTAAAGTATTGCCTCAGATAATGCCTTGAAAAATCTTTGCCTTGACCCTTGCTGGAAAAGGCCAGACTGAGAGACAAACTGCGAGACAGACTTCCCCCTTGAAACTCCGGTGGTGAAAAAGTAGTATACTGATATGCGAGGCTCTGGAACCAGTGCAAACCAAGATATCTTGAAACACAAGTTACCCTTCAACTTTGCATAGCAATCCTATGTTAGACAGACCCAGTTTTAGAGTTTGAAAGGATCATTTAACACACCACAATTCAGGACAACCAATCTGAGATAATTTTGATTTTGTACTCTACTAACACTATTTGTAAAGTGAATTGAAGTCTTCAGATTATGGACTTCTATATCAGAGATTCTAATAGCTATTTGTTTTTATTTGGAATAAGAAAGAAGTGGTAAAATTACATACTTAAAACACAAAATGATATAGGGAAGAAAGAGAAAAGACTAAAATATTGAGGGTCTATTATGTGGTCAAGGTGCAAACTACATTTTTTTTGTAGATAGTATTTAATTTAATCCTCCTAAAACACTATGGGAGAAGGCTTTGCTACTTCTGCTTTGTAACTGAGGAAACTGAAGCCCACTTTTGAGTATATTATCCAAAAGAACATGGTTAGAATATGACAATACTGTGATTCAATTATAAATTTAATCTGATGCCAATTCCTGTGTTTTTTGCACCATGCCACTCTCAATCCTGGATTACTTTAAATGCTACAATGTGACAGACACCCAACACCCAAAAAAGTAAAGGCACTGGTGGTTATCGAACCTAAAGTTTGCTTTCCCAGTTTCTTTTTTTCGCAGGATTCTTTGGCTGAATGATATCGCATTTGTATTAACTATTAAAATGTCTAAAGACAAATTTTCCTTCAACTGCTCTAGGTTCACTACCAGAAGTAATTGTCACACATCTTCGAGCAGCTGCCTATGCCCATGACACAGTGTTGGCTCTGGAAGATGCTGTGAACTGGCGCTCTGGGGATGAAGTTGTCATTATCAGTGGAATAGGTGTCAAAGATGCCAAACCTGTGGAAGAGATTGTTATTGTGGAAACAGTGCACAATGCAGACCTTCATCTGAGATCACCCTTGAGGTACTGAGAGATAGCTTGGCTCCATTTATATAAAAGAAGATGTCTTAACTGTGTTGTTGTCTGGACATTGGTTTGTCTTTCAATGATGTATTTTTAATTAAATAACGCTAGATGTTTTGACAAGAATTTTACAAAGCATAAAATGTTTGAAGATTTATACTTAAATAAGAAGTTTATATTTCTTAAATAAATAAGTTTCTCTTGTAAGACTCTAGAACTACCATCTAATAGTAGGTGGTCAATACAACAGTCAGTATAATTTCTAATTTTCACATACTTGTGCCCGTAGTTCACTCTTCTGTATCTGGGTTTCTATAGAAATAGATCCCTAAGTCGGGAATTAGGCAAATCTAGTGGCTTGCTATTCTGTAAGATTCGGAGTGATATCTACAAATGTGTTTTTTTTTTTTTCAGATATTCTTACAACTTCACAGAGAACTGGGTGGCTGGAGAGCACCATATTTTAAAGGCTACAGTGGCTCTGCTCAGCAGGAGTATTACTATACGAGGAAATCTCACTAATGAGAGGATAAAGTTCCTCACTTCATGCCAGGAGGCTAATGCTTCAGAAGGTAGAGAAGTATTTTATTGGGAAGTCCAACGAGTGAAAAAGAATGTTTTTACTGTCAAATGACATATGGCATTGTTGACTTCTTTCAAAACAGAATAAACTCTTAACCTTTGCATGTCCATAATATTAGGTAATTTTCAGAATGCTCTTGATAAGTTGTCATTTCACCTTCTGCCCTCAACAACCTTGTGAAAGAGACAGATAACAATATTGACTTGAGGAATTATTTCTTTGGGAAAAAATCATGTTAAATAATTAAATTTGTAGAATTGAATTAAATTTCCAGGTTAGAAGTTATAATGAAGTTTTAGCTCTGATTTTAGGCCCCTTCTAAAATTCTCAGGAAAACTGTTCAATGCCAGAGTCATAAACGCAGGCAACACATCCTTACTGATTAGTCTTGTGGGCCTGTTATCTCCCCCCTACTTCCATTTTGGAGTTTGTTTTCTGAGTGAACTACCACATACTTTAAGTAAGTGGTCGAAAAAGTCAATTTATCTTCTAGAAGAATAACAGGCACTGAATCACACTGATGTGCCTATTAAACATCTATTTCAGGGATGGTTAGTTTAGTAGGTTATGTTTTGGTTTCTCAGGCTGTAGATTATGAGGCTTTCACATGTTGTGAAGACATCATTTGTCAACTTTGGTCCAGGATGGTGTGGGTGTCAAGGATGACTCCCAGGCATGGGCTCTGGATGGATGATGAAGCTATTTATTGAGATGGGAAGAGGAACAGATTTTTGGGTAGGAGGGTGAAGATCATGAGTTTAATTTTGTACATGTCAAGACTGAGAGGCCAGGCCAGCATCAGAGTAGGGATATCTTGTAGTGTCTGGATCCTGGAAGAAATGTCAAGAGTATAGTTAATAACGTGAGTCATGTTTAGATTTAGACTCATATAGGTACAATGTCAAAATGTGGTTGGGAGAGAGGGTCCTTGACCCCACCCCCTTATCATCACAGTCATCTATCTCACAAAGGTGTCATTCTGAAAAATGTTCGGATATTGTGGGTTAGAATCTGGTGACTGCAGCTTTTATAATTCTACTGAATAGAGATCTGAATTTTGTTCAAACACTTTGGGGATTTCTCATACAGGCATTCTCAGATCATACTGTGTAAAACATTGCTTTCGATCATGCTAGCAGTGAAATCATGCATCTGGGTTTGGGCCATTATAAATCTGTTAGCTCCCAGTGAGGAAAAAAAAATCCTCGATTTCAGCACAACTCTTAAATGTTACTACAAAATTCTCAAAATAAAACAGAATTCATACCTTCACTAAAAATGTATGTTACTCACCTCTTCTTTGTGTGGAGTGGAAGTGTGGGAATGTGGTAGCTAAATACAATAACACAAGGCCTGGCCACTTGAAAATATTATAGATCACTGCCATAAATAACCAAAATTATGATAAAGCATAAACATATAAAACACCTCTTCATTCACCTCTTTTATATTTATTCTTTGGGTGTTAGCAAATGACTAGACTCTATAATTTACTGTGGATTATTTATTTTCGAATGGTACATCATTTTGTATTACTGGCACTTCTACTTTTGTCTATTAACATAGATAATAAAGAATCAATTCAGAGGGTGATTTCTCACTTAGTTCACACCACCACATGCCATGTGTCAACAGAAAAGTATCCTGGATCCTGAGGCGGTAACACTTTGCAGCAATAGTAGCTGGTGTACCGTATTCATAGACTTTGCTGTCCTCTCTAGGGGCACAGCTTAGAAGGAGGTGTTGGTGTGGGGGTGCTCAGTTACTTCTCTGGACCCCTTTGCCATTTCTGTGGTAGCATTATTGTTAAGTCTCCAAACTATAAAGCAGTAAAGTAAGGGGAAAGCCCATTAGAAAACTTAAAACTAAAAAGAGCTGCGATTACTTTCAGGACTCACATATCTTCTGTACAATTATCAACCACAAGAAGGTCATTTTATTGCACACTCCCTTCAGGGGATCTTTTGGATTGAAATAAGCATCTATTTATGTTGAGTTTGTAGGTTATAGTCAGCCTCTTTGTGACAATAATTAAGGTGATTGATTTGGGAGCTTTCTGAAAATAATAGAATGAAGGCAACATCACGTCCTAGTTATCAGATATTTTAATTAATAACCCCAAAAGCAGAATCAAAATAAAAGAGAAATAAAATTATTAAATGAAATAAACAATAAAGCTTTGTCTTTTGTACTGTCAGTGCCTTTCAAACCGAGAGACTTATCTAGAAGCGTGTCTACATGCTTCATGTCCCCTGACTTCTTTCTGTGTTTCAGGTAACTTACAATATTGTTTGTATTCCAAGAGTGAGAAGATGCTAGGATCTAGGGATCTGGGGGCCAGTGTCATTATACAGTCCTTCCCAGAGGAGCCTAGCCGAGTCCAGTTGAAGGGAATACAGTTCCGAGACTTGGGGCAAGCCTTCCGTAAGCATCTGAGCTCACTGACTGTGGTGGGCACTATGAGAGGTAAGGGGGTCCAGGCCTATGACTTCTCATTTTTCTTCCTCTCATGTTCAAGGCACTATATACTGGGATGTCATGATAGGTAATATGTGGGATGTGGAGAGTTGTAGAGATAGAGAATTATAATCTAGATATGTGGTTCTCAAACTTTAGTAAGCCTAAAAATCACTTGGGGAGCTTATTAAAATTCAGAGTTAGTTATGAACCCTGCCAAGCAAATTGTGGTCTAAGGTGGGCCTAGGGATCTGAATTTTTATGATTCTAGAGCAAGTGGTCCAAGAAACATTACTGTAGGTAAAACAGATGTGGAATAAACCACACAATCCATGTTGTGAATCCTACCTCTACCATTTACTAGCTTGTGACTACAGGCAAATTGATACTGAATAATATAAGTAATCAATGCTATGAGAGTCCAGCACAGCAGAGAGCAATTCTATGTGCAATTGCTCTAACTCACAGGAATGTTCTGCCTGGAAAAATGGGGGAGAATGGTCTGAAAACCAGGCTTTTCATGGGAACACAGAGCAGGCAGAATGGCAGATCTTAGCCAGAACTGAAGTGATAGAAAGAGAACAGGAACCATCAAATGCAGGTGGGTACAGCTTGGTAATAACAAGATTAGAATCAGAAAAGAATATGCCCACATGTATAGATAAAGGTTCTGAAACCATAGTTGGAGAGTCATAGGAGCATCCAGGGAAAAAACCCAATGCCAGACAGAAGCTGATGTGCAGAGTCAGAAGAGTCAGGTATGGATGCTAAGTAATTAGGATGGAAGCTCTATTTCTGGAGCTTGTCCTCTCCATCCTTCAGCTCCTCTAATACCCGCACATTCAAGCTTTTCCTTCTTTGGAAAGCGAGGTGCTGGGGGTGGTGGTGCCTGACAAAAAATATCAGGGCATATTTGGTGGTTCAGGTGGTCTTCAAGAATGGTAGAATTTCAACAGGTTATGACAGAGCAGTCTTTGAAGTCATTAAAGGCTAGCCAACTGCAGTATTTCTTTCTCATTTCAAATCACTTGCCCACCCAGAAAGTCTGTTTATTCTAATGTACCAGACCTGTTTCTCTTTTTTTATTTTCTTTTTCGTATTTTCTTTCTTTCTTTCTTTCTTTCTTTCTTTCTTTCTTTCTTTCTTTCTTT